GTAAAACTCGTTTCAAGTCGGTAACCTTGAACTTTTCTGGTGACATAGACTTTTTTCTATACAAAGTGAATTGCAAATGGATTAGTTTCAACAAAAGTCCATATGATAAGTATTCAGCATACTTTTTTTATTAAGAAATGACTATAACTCGTTCAACGTCTTGTTCCAAATAGTTGTTCAAACGAAACAAGCATCACCAGAGAATGTAATTACAGCTAACTTTTTCAACTTTAATCTGCGCCATAAATGTATAATAAACGGTATCATTTGCGTATTCTAAAAATACTTCATTGTGTGATTTTCACTAGACATGTCTAGTGGGATTTTCAATAAAATATTCGCAACACGTGTTCAATAATAATAATAATGTCTACGTGACAGAAAAGTACTGAATGGATCATGTAAATTCATCATGAGAGAGCAGGAACGAGGTGATCACAATTTTGTCGCCGAGTTGGAACCCTCTCAGGAAAAGGACCACATAAAAGCCACAGAAATAACTTCACTCCTGCGAAAACACAAGGAAAAACCAATTCATAACCTGCCAGGATGGCACCTTTGACACTAAAGTCTAGCGTTCTTCACGTTTGACCAATATAGAATTTGGGAAAAATACACTCTTTCTTTCTGATACATTACAAGGGTATTCATTGTTTTCAATGTATCCATGAAAAGCCTAATTTGAATGGTAAGAAGAAAAACGTGAAAAGGGATTATCAATAACGCCTTTTTCCCCAGTCTCGCGAAAAAACAGTGAAAACTCTGCAGCACACTATGTTATTGACAAATTTCAGCCCTTCCTTCCCTCCTGCCAGACAACAGACATTTGTTAACAAAATTTACAGGAGCAGACAGGAGGAAACATTATTTTCAGTTTGTAACAAGTTTAGGGCAACAAAAAATAAAAGGAAAGTACTCTGAAACAACAACAAAATGTATGAGGTCACATGACTGTACAATAAGCAGTTACAGTGGCCAAAAAGTCGCTAAATGAATGTACATAGCGTGCCTTATTTTTTGAACAAACCTCGTACATACTGTTTAAAGGACCACATGCCATTCAGATTTTTATGAACTTGCACGAGTCTTTGCATCAGTTTTTGCTCGTGCAAAGGATGCCTTTTTAAGTTTTTACAAAGAGTACATATTTCTGAAATCGCCAACTGAAATTTTTCTCAAGATATATTAGCAAGAAATAAACTCTGAAGACGACATTTTCATCTTCAGTTTATGAATTTATTTAATGGCTGTTCTTTCCGCGAATCTTCTGCGTGTTAATTTTCAATTCAAGTAAACAATTACAAGGAGGTACATTTAATGTAGGTAATAGAAAACTCCGGAACTTCTAGGAAAGCACACCTGAGCAAAAATTTTATGAATTTACGTGGTTGTATTCCTCAAGAACGCTGTGATTCATTTCATCGGGCCTCAGGCGCTGTAAATGTTTTTCATGCTCTTTTTAAACATTGTGTCATATTGCACAACCATTTTGGGAAGATGCATCATTTCTGAAGAAGCAACTTGTATTTTAATTTTCGTCTGACCGGATTTTAAGATATTAGTGCAATGCCCTAGTTTATACTGGGAAGTACGATGACTGTATCATGATGTACAGGATGTTTTAATTATTGAGAACGAAATGACGTAGCAAGGAACGTTATTCATCGAAAATTATCCGCAGGAGGCCAATATTTGTAGGATTACTAGAGAAGATGAGATGTCTACAACGATAGCCCTCCCACCCTCAACTTTCGAATAATAATAATGAATCTTCATTTTTCTTTTTGTCAAAGTCAAAAACTTCTTACTTATACCCATAAATTCTTCGAAACGATAATGACAGTTGTCAACAAGAAAATCCTGGAGTTTTCTTTTGAAAATATGCATGATTTTGGATTATTTTATAGTATCTGGAGGAAAATTACAGGCACGTGGAGCCATCTGATCGGGTGATTCAAAAGCTAATGGTAGAAAAACAATGCCTTTTTATCTGGTATCAATATTATGCTTACACTTATTTATACGAATAACTTATTTCTATTCCCGAAAACAGACAAACAGGAGTCAAATTAAAAGACGAGGAACAGTTAGAATTCTAAAAGTTTTAAAAGCATTTCTGCATGAATCACAGTAATTTATGCCACTAAGATTCGTATGAGTTTGTTTTGTTCTATGAAGACATCAGAGCAGCAAAAGGAAAGATCCCGGAAGTACACTCCATCAACCTGGAATCAACCTGAGCAAAGTACTACCATTTATACTTCCAAAAACTTGGTGACCTTTTTCAGAGATTTGTCAGAGATAATAATCGTAGTGTTATCTACAAATATTGTTATGAATATTCAGGGCGTTGCATACTCCAATTCATTTTGTACAATACAAACAATATAGGTCCCGATAGCGACCCTTGCGGTATTCCCAATTCGGAGAGGGCCATGCTGAAGGTTGCATCCATTGAAAAAAACTTTCCTTCGATTGATAATTCGCAACATTTCAAGTAAGAATTCGGTAGTCATTTATACTCGTATAAAAAAACAAACATTCTAAAGATTCCATGACCTTAAACTACATTGTTCCCATGAATTGTTAAATTTCGCGTGTCCAAGAACAAATGTAACTATTACTATTATTGTATGTATCATTTCGCACAGATTGACCTATAAATGAATTACTAATAGTCAGGAAACTAGGTCTCGCCATATGACCACGGATGAAAAATAGTTTGTAGGTTGTGATTTCGTTACGTCAAAGGTCAATGATTCACTTTGTTATTGTCGGTGACTGGCTAATCCGTCTACTTTGTTAAACGTAGTACGTCTAATAGGGTGTCCCCAATCTGGAGTGTTTTATGGTAATCAATCTGTGACAGAAAAAAATCGGAATTGAGGCACCAAAACATAAATCACCCATCAAACCTCTATTGAGTAATATGTGTTTTCGTCTGGGGGTTATTCGAAAACTGTTTGTACAGCACCGACCTGGTAGGAATCTTATGGGACTAGAATCGGGCATTCCTGGTGGCCTATACAAGAAGCCGCAGATGTTGAGTAGTCTTTCGAGCACTCATTGATCTTTCAATTATATTAATTGCATTCACCGGTTTTTTTTCTAAGTATCATGCTCTTTACGACTGAATTTGTTCATAATTGGTTTCTACGATAACTTTCAATTGGTATTTATCAAAAACTTGTTTATTGTGCATTTTGCCGTTTCTCAATCTCAATAAACTTTCATTGATGTTTCAGGCTAGTCCAGAACATTCTAGCTAGACCCGTTAGAACTAAATTTGAGGGATTTATTTCATCAAAATATACTACTCTCTTCAAAACATGAAGTGAATTTTCATTTTCAGTGTTTTTTCTAAGCATCGAAGCAGTTCTAGTATGCACTTTCTGGTTAGTTCTTGAACTCTCTCGGCAATTTGGTTTTCATATCCGCAATCGTCGCCAAACGCCGTAGTTTCATGGGTGTCTTCAATCTTGGGAACAGGAAAAACTCGCAGGGGTCAAATCTGGTGATTACGGTGGCTGAAGCATCGTTACACTGTTGTTTTTGACCAAAAAATTACGAACAAACAATGGCGAGTTAGCCAATCGATATGCGGCATCTTCATAGAGATTTCACGATTCGCCATAACAAATTTCTTCACTTTGCCAACATTTATTGTGTTATTACGTTCGACAAAAATAAATACGTCTTTTGCAAAATTATTAACGATTGAAACCACATTCATTCAATTCCTCCACAATAACATTCATCATGGGTGGTATGTATACGATTTTATAATTCATTATAAACTGGTTCAATGCATGCCGCCATGACGGAAACAAGGGTCAACTGCCTTGTACTTAAGGTCGGACTACTAGTAACTTGACCTGAAACCGCAACTTCATAACCTTCATTTCTCACTGGTCTTTTAATAATCCTTTTATTATTCATAGATCATACCTCAGTAAATTTCTTCAGTAGCCCCAGAATACTCTGCTTTATAATACAGTGCATTTTTTCAATGCCCCCCCTTTTATTTTTAGAACGGGTCAACTCAAAAAACTGAAATTTGGTATAATGAAATTAATGCATGAATACTTTATTTTGAAGCGAAATTGACAGATGAAACTTTTGAAATGGAGACTGGGCGCCATCTGGAAAAAAAATTAAATGGAAAGGGGGGTCTTGTGACAAATTATTTTTGAAGCTCCTGACGAAAACTCATTATCCCAAATTTCAATTTTTTGTGTTGACCCGTTCAATAAATATAAAGGGAGGGCATTAAAGAAAAGCACTGTATACATCTGCATCCAATTACTTGTAATAAAAATATTTGGTTTTTTCTGAGAGAACTTTTTATCTACCACGAAATTGATAAAAATATATATGTGCTTATTGCTCTACTGAAATTATTATTATTCGCTGGGAAGAACTGAGAATCTCTTCCCGGATAGCTTTTGCTGGATGTATAACAAAATTTGATTAGCAATAAGATAATTTTTAAACATTTTTTTAAGGTTTTTATCATTTAAAGACAATGCCAATGAAAAATCCGTACTGTTGGGACAAGTATCCTTGCTTTCAAGCAATGGAAAGCAATGGAAAATGCTTGAAGAAGCACATATTTTTAAAGACACCTGTTTTCCAAACTCCTACCGACAAAATAAGAATGATTTCCCAGAAATTTGAATATATTTTAGGAACGGAACATGCCAAGAAAATAATTTAGGCCTTCATTGGCGATTCATCTCATTTGCAAGTAATATCGCCTTTGTGAAACTTCTCAGATATCAAAATGTGCATGTGAGAAACATTTTGCTTGTGTTTGAAATGCATATAAGTATATGAAATCACTAGATGAAATTTTGGACACGTAAAACCTAACTATTTTGACATCCGCCCATGAGTAGTAGCAACAAAAGACCATGTCTTGTGCAGAACACAGTAGAAAGGATTGTTTTTTCATTGTATTCGAATCTTCTGTAAAAAAACCGATCGAAAAATGCCCTCACCTCTGGTCTTCCACTGCTGGAACTTGTGGTAGATGAGACACGAACACATAAAACACACACAGCTGAGCACCATGAGGGTGAGAACGATACCCACCCAAACGTCCGCCAAGAATTGTTCATACTCCGGGTCAGTCACCCCGGTGGCTTTGGAACTGTCGCCTGAAGAAGGCAGGAAAACGGTCGAAATGTTGAATTCGACGCTGGTCAAGTCATCATCCCCGAACCTCCCGGGGATTTTCAGCTCGAAAATATCCTCGTCCGTTGTTAACATGTTGAACTGTGTCGGCAATTCACCGGCAAAGGCAGCACTGAGATTAATCACGATCGAGTCTCGCTAACAGGCTGAGTGTTACTGATTAAGACGTGTCGAGTTGACGAACGGATTCCCACTTTGGAGTCGGTACCACGTAGGGGGTTTTGCAGTACCGTGCGGTACTCCTGACGACGTGAGTCACCTGAAATGGATTTTCTTGTTCCGAGTTATGTACAGAGTGAGCCAAATTGGACAGTTCTCAAACTCAGTTCTCAAACTAGACGGATGAAAATTGATACTTGGGTACTAATTCGGCTCAGCGTACCTCCGCTAGGTGGCTACCTTGTATATGAATCGACTTTACGTTTTATTTTGAGTTGAGTCATATGACCCCTAACGCCCGGAAAGGTGAAATACAAAAGTCAGGGTCCGCAGAGGTCAAATGATGAAGTTGTTCCATAAAGTTGTTCCAGATGGCTTAAAAACATTATATTTCCATGAAAAGAGGCTCCGCACCTGACCTAACCTAACCCAACCCAACATACCTAACCTAACCTAACCTACCTTTTTTTTTGGCGGGTGGAAAATTCTTTATGAATTGCCAAGTACAGGTTCATCCCTTCCCTGGGTATGTAGGACTCCGGTAGTGACCATTTACCCACTAAAAACCACCTTGGCGCTTCTTACACATGGAACCTAACCTACCTAACCTAACCCAACCTAACCTAATCTATCTAACCTACCTAACCTAACCTAACCTATATAACCTACCTAGCCTACTTAACCTAACCTAAACTAACCTTGACCATACATAAACATGCTGACTGTTTAGTCGTCAATGACATCGTAGCGCAACCTTTCTGCTTATACTTCAGGCATCGAAAGCATCCAAAACCCGGGTCTTGCTCGATGATACTCATGGCATACCTATGGCTGTTTCACTTTTTCGTATAAAAAAAAAAGTCCTTTCTGTTGAGCTCAAGTGATACCAAGTGACCCAACCTAACTCAACTTAACCCACCTAACCTAACTCAACCCAACCTACCTAACCTAACCTACCTAACCTAACCTAACCTAACCTAACCTAACCTAACCTACCTAACCTGACCTAACGTAACTTTGCTGTTGAGCCCAAATGATAACGTCCATCAGTGTCTTTAGAAAAGAATTCAAATTCCAAACTGACGACTGAAAAACAAGTAGCGTCGCGACGTTGATATATAGCGTTCTCCGACTTTTTATTCAACCTTTCCGGACGCTAAGGTACATGTCAATCGACTCAAAATCAAAAGTTATGTCGATTCATATACAAGGTAGTCACCTAGAAGGAGTACGCTAAGCCGAATGTTAGCATATATATTTTGTTTATTTGTTGCTTTCAAATCTATGTAATTCATGTATCATTCAGTATATTTTTTGTTCCATTCAGTTAGCTGTGAATGAGATATTTTTTATAAAAAAGTTGTTGTTGGTTGTCAGAAAAGGTCAATGGACGTCAAAAAGTAAAATTTAGTATTTTCTTGAAAAATTAAGTATCTAAGGAAATTACATGGTCCTTCGAGCCGGATTAGATATCAAAATATAGTATATATAGTACACAAATACGTACTGAAGAGGAAATTACAAGGTGGCTCCTCGGCGGGGAATCGAACCTCGGTCTCCCGCGTGACTGGCGCGGATATTGACAACTATACTACAAACTGTGAAATTTATTTCTTCAGAGAAGATGTTCTAAATGTCTACCAGCCTCTGCTACACATAGGCGACACGTTTCTCGGACGTTTTTGCTGAAATAATTAGTTCAATAGGTCGGCAAGTTGACAATAAGATCTTTCATCCTTCCCCTGAGGTAAAAGTCCATAGGCGTCAGGTCAGGAGACCTGGCCGGCCAACGGTTGGGTCCTTTGTTAGCTATCCTATTATTACCAAAATTTGCAGCCGAAAAACTGGTAACAATAGCAGTGTTGTGAGGCGAAGCCCCGTCTCGTTGAAAATATATCTTTCCGAGCTCCATTAGTGGCGATTAATCAACAAAGGGTTTAATATTTTGCCTTAAAATTTGTGAATACCTCTGATTTGTGAGAGTGCCATTATAAATGAACGGGCCGATAATTATACCCCTGAAAACATCTGCCCAGACATTAAATCCAAATCTTCCTTGACTTCTCTGCTTCACAATAGAATGAGGATTTTGTTGTGCCCAAGTATGAGAATTGTAGAAGTTGAAAATGCCGACATCGCCCACATAGGCTTCGTCTGTCAAAATATACTTTAACGAAAAATCACGCACTTGGTTACAACTTTCCAGGAATCACTGACAAAAAGTCATGCAGCGTTAAAAATCTTCTGAACGACGCGAAATGGACTGCCTCGGATTCTTCTGCACACTCTCACAGACAGCGGCGATGTTTTCGGCAAATCTTGCGTTCTGGCAAGAATGGTTTGAGAATGGTTTGAACGGAAAATTGTTCCGATGGAGTTTCACCTTCAATATTAGAACTAATACGATGAGTTTTCTCTAAACATAATTGTTTTGCTTTATTCGGAAAACGGATCGTTGGCGTTCCAAAGAGTAGACAGATTTTTCGAAAACAAATCAGCGAGGTATATGGAATCGAAAGCATTTTTCAATGAAGAAGCTAGAGAATTGGAGATTTGCAATGGTTTCGGGTCGAAAATTCTCCACAAAAAACCTCGATGTGTTTTTGGATTTTTGCAAAAAATATTTTCATGGCAGTTTTGTTTTGCATTTCCGATAGCCCGATAGTGAATTGTCCTAGATTCGTTCAGAAAACACTATGTTATTTAAAAAAAAGTATCCTAAGGTTCGAAAAACGTTATAGAAAGGAAAATTATTGGTACCATCAACTCTCCAAAATTGGTACAAATCTAAGAAATATGAAGGCGGGGTTATAGCAAACATTGCACATTGTTTACCCCATAAATGTCAACATCTGAATCATTTTCAAACAGATACTATCCAGCTCATCGCCACGTATTAACTTGTGTTCTTTAATATAAACTTGAAAGAAAGATAGATGAGAAAACGTGACTTGTTGTCCATTACAATACCTCAATTTGAAACACATTTTCCGCATACCTTCGTCACTGGTCTAATGAGCAATAGATAATTCAGAAGAGCCTTGAAAGATAGGAACTATCGCGAACTTTGCCTTAAAAGTCGTCATTCATTTTGCGTATCTGCGCCCAAACAATATACGACTATAACAATAACAAGGTAAAAGTCCGGTAAAAGTTATTGGTGGTATTTTGCGAACACCGTTTGGAACCAAATTGAGCTATACAGGGTGTGAGGATGTTCCAAAATGTTATATGATGTCAGGACCCTTAATTTTCATTAAGATGTTCTTGAATGTTTTCGTACACCTCGTTTATTTATGACATTACCAATTTCTAATGTACCACATTATCTTGATGTCCTTGAAACATTTATGCCTTCCGTTTTTTGCTCTCTGTCATATTCACTTGTCCTTGAAGAAGGTTCCTGATTTCACCTGAAGGGCGTGCTTATCAAGATATTAGAGCTGGAAGTTTCGCCCAATAAAAAGTTCCAAAACAATCCAGAACATTTGAGAGTATTCGAAAATATTCCACCAACATTCCAGAACATTGAAGCCGATATTTCTAATGATAAACTAATTGAAAACCTATTCTGATTGAAGCAGAATTGACCCCAAGTCAAGAATTTCAAATAGAACCCCGTTTACCTAACTATAGATAATAATATGCACGTGACACAAAATGGAGCAAAAGGCAAAAAATAACAGTCATCGCTTAAAAACTATATTCATTAATTTCATCAACTGTCTTTTTCTAGCAATAAATATTTGACCGTTTTCCTAATTTTTTGTATGACGATATAATGCGAAAATATAATGACAGATGACTGAGACATTGAACTTGCGCCGAAGGGAAGCAAATACCACAAGAAAAAGAGAAGAAGAGTTCCTCTCCGATCGTTACAATGGACGGTTGTACCGATAAAGACCGTCCACAAAGATGGCACATACATGTCACGTTTGAATAAATATTGAATTGAAAGATGAAAGAACTGGCGGCTCTCCACGCCAGTAACCAGGCTGGATGCCGACGGGTTTTTGTGTTATTTTTATCCGAAGGCAAAAAATAAACTGTATTTGTTAATAGAAGTGAATGAAAAAACTTGGGGTGGCAGCATTGCCTTGAGCAAGACAGCTACTCCCCCGACGACCATAGAAATTAGAGAGAGACAGGTGATTGATGTTTTTTACATTATATGTACTGGATTTTCTGTCAAATTACTTTTAGGTATTGACAACTATATCATGTACTTATTCTGCCATGTGTTACTAGATGTGAGAACAATCTCCGAAGCACGTTTACTGTGTACCATCCACACTTCCTAAATGGAGGTGCAAGTTGAAGTCAAAGATTTTTGGGAAATAAATAAAGGTTTGCAACGACTTCTGGGTTCCGCCTTACAAATGTATGTGAAATCTTTCTTTTGTAACACAAACACCGCATTTACCATGACTTGTGAGGTATTTCCAAAGAAACAAATGAACCCTTCCACTGATATGTCATAACGTCAGTAACATTTGGCAACGCCGTAAAACTCATTCATATTGCATAATTCTTCTTCTTCCTTTATTCTTGTTGCCCTGACTGTTCGTGCAACATTGCCAACTTTTTGAAGTTGAGGTTGAAAAATTTCGGTATTACTTTCTAGTGAATTAAATGTAGTAGAAAGGATACTTGCGTTGAAGAGAATTTTACAACCCATAAGGTTTTGAAAATACTGTTAAGCAGCTGCCGCCCCCGTACAAACGACGACTCTCAAAAGTCGAAACTTGTGCAAGCCGAGGACTTATATTTTAACGTGTGATTTCTAACACGGTTTGGACGATAGGAAGTGAAAATCGATCGAAAAATTTTATATAAATTAGAAGTATCATAACTTCTAATTACTTTCAATATCGATTTGGATACAAATGGCTAAAGGGCAACAGCTAAACTCAGACTAGCAAAGCTATTGGTCGAATAAAGCAAAAACTGTCTTAATATAAGATATATTTATGCTACTATAACACATCAATAATACATTCTCAACAATACAATATCAACTAGAATGACTTGCTGTCGATGAGGGTAACAAATTATCCACTTCAATTCATCCATTCACGATCCGATCGAAGATTTTTGGCATAACGGCGTCAATTTAAATTCAATTCGAAATTTATACTTCGCCTCAGCTTCAATCAAGAAAAATTTGAATCATTTCCTAGATGAAAAACCAAGTAACATTATTGAAAAAGAGATTGGTAATATATTTTACTCTAATGGAATTTATCTGCAACAGACAGTTCTCTTAATCAAAAAATGTAGATGGGTGCAATTCGAAGTGGACGTAGTGACAACGAATAAATTACGAAAAGCGACGAGTTGAAAAATACATCAAATTTGTACAAATTTCTGCTGCCTTTCCAAGTCAACACAAAGTAATCTCAACAATCGGTGATTGTTTAATTTCTGTAAATTGCAGTGTTGCCAGGCAATAATCTCAATATTAATCACTGACTCAATTGAAATGTGCCAAGTTGCCAGTTAGTCATTAAAAGGATCTGTGAATCGATGCTTGCTGAAACACTGGAATCAAAAAGAGCAGGGGGTCAGTGAGTATTGCCTTGAACGAATTTAAGTACAATTCAAATATTACGCCGGGCTATTTTCAGCGATGTTGAAACTCTTAACCTCAATGTTTCGTTTGCATCGAGTCACATGTGTCAGCTCAAAAATAACAATTTGTTTTTCGTTAGCAATATCAGTACAGTTAATGGAATATTAAAAATCGAATTTAACGAACTTCTCCCCACCCCGAGATCTCAACGATGTTTTTTTCAGAGAAATTGGAACTATATCTACCTATATTTAGGGAAACTACTATAATCTATGGTCCGTCTCTTGGTTATAAGGAGAAACATGAGTAATTTCATGAAATGTTTGGATAATAACATGTTTCTGGAGGAGCTGGGGCGATATGTACTTTCATCTACGCTACTCTACACTAGACAATATGAACAATTGGAAATTTTCAACGAATACGACCACAATCACCGGAATGCCACTTTTCTCAACCAAAAACTAGTCTCGACATCCACACATGGATAGTTCCTCTCGCCCGAAAAAATCACGGAGCGCACTATAATAATAATTGCAAATAACAGTCTTGGGATAACAGTACACATGTAAATGGAATAAAGTACGCAAAACATCTGAAATTGCTGAACAAAAGCCACGAAAAATCTCTAATTTGGTCCACTAACTAAATAAAATCGTCTAAAATACATAAACTATATCACAAAATAATCCAAGATTGAAAACACTTACAACTCACAAAATCCACACAACTCAGAACTTTCGAAAGAATATAACAGTGGGCCAAAATGTCATCAACCTCCACATAACTATTTTTGTTGAAAGTCTAGTCATAAAGAGAATAACTCTAGATTAGTTGTTAAGGTATGCAAAGTTGAAGGTGCATTCATCAATCCAAAGGGCATTCGTGAAATTTTCAATGCCTACTTATGAGCAAACAAGTTCCTGCGAAACAATGACGAGTCCTGCTGAAAGACCATGTGAAAATACAATCTAAAAGTCAATAAAGAAGTGAGAGACACCCAAAATATATACAAAGCGCCGAAACTACCACGAATAAATTATATTGTACACTCACTAAAAACGCGCTACGCCTTACTTTTGCCTATCTACAAAACTCGCTAGCCGGGAGAGAGGGATCGGAGTTGGAGGGGATATAATGGAAAACGGGAAAGTGCGAAGACGTATTGATCAGACTTTGCTGTCAAAAACGGGAGCTCCAGTGAAACTGATGGGTTGAGCGTTGGCGACGAGATTCGATTGCATGCCGGAGAAGGTTCTTGGGGCGCTCTCCGCACTGGCAGCCTGTCGCATTTCCTCTACTGTGGCCCTACAAAATAAAGTTTGATAGATTGATGTCGATGTCAGGTCAAATTGTAAACTACATCGAATAATGTGCAAGTTATGTGCAATGAAGTTTATTATGTGCAATTCTTCGAAAAGTATGTGCAATTCTTCCAAAAATTATGTGCAATTCTTACAAAAATTATGTGCAATTCTTCCAAAAATTATGTGCAATTCTTCCAAAAATTATGTGCTAATGTGTATCCTAAGTACAATAGATTCAAAATTTAGATAAGAATGTCAATGGTAACAGTTGTGCAAACCATTAAATAGTTTTGAATATGGGTCAACAATAATGCAGAAACTGGAAACACATATGTCAGAAGAAGCAAGTTTTTTTATAACATCTATGTCTAATAGTTAAACTGTTGAACTATAGTCAACTGTTGAACGTTAATCATTATTCAAGCAATAGTCGGCCACTAGATATTAATCCTTATGTGCAATAATTGTTGACTGTTGAGCAAGTCATATTAACACGTAGTGAATATTTGAACAATCAACATTGGTCAATCATTGAGCAATAGTCAAAAGTCAAGTCAGTTGTTAGGCAAGTGTCGCCATGTGTTTGTTAAGCAAGAGTCAGCATGGAAAAGCAATCATCCTTGAGACATAATTGTCAAGCAATGGTCACTCAAGTCAGTTTTGGTGAAATAAATAGCTATGTGTTTAGCAACAGTCAAGAAATAAGAAACGATGAATCTATAGAACAATAGTCAGTTGTTGAATAATAGTCAGTCTGTTGAACAAAGGTCTATTATTGATAGCAATGATCGGTACTTGACCAGGTTCATCACTAAGCAACAGTCATTGAAAAATAATCAACAGCTGATTAATAATCAGCCGTTGTTTATAGTCACCTTATTGATCAATAGTTCGCCTGTTGAGTGATGGAAATAGACAAACGTTGAACAACAGTTATTGTCCGTCATTAAGAATCAATCAGTCTGTTGAACGTTAGTCTGTCATTGAGCAATAGCTTGTCATTAAGCAATAGTCAACAGTTGAACAATAGTCAAAAATTAAGTTATGATCTGTCGTTAAGCAATAGCCATCTTGTTGAAAGTTAATTAATCATGGGCAATAGTTTGTCATTAGGAAATAGTCCCAAACTGAGCTGTAGTCGGTCATTAAGCAATAGACAGCCAGTTGAACAATAGTCTGATATTGAGCAATAGTCTGCAGTTAGCTACAGAATTGAGTTATGATCACTCATTAAGCAACAGCCATCCTGTTGAAAGTTAATCAATCATGGGCCAACAGTTTGCCATCAAGCAATAGTCAACAGTTGAACAATAGTCAAAAATTGAGTTATGATCTGTCGTTGAGCAATAGCCATCTTGTTGAAAGTTAATTAATCATTGGCAATAGTTTGTCATTAGGAAATAGTCAAAAATTGAGTAATAATTAATTACTGAGCTGTAGTCGGTCATTAAGCAATAGCTGTTGAACAATAGTCAGATATTGAGCAATTAGCTACAAAATTGGGTTATGATCTGTCATTAAGCAACAGCCGTCCTGTTAAAAGTTTATCAATCATGGGGCAACAGTTTGCCATCAAGCAATAGTCAACAGTTGAGTAATAGTTAATTACTGAGCTATAGTCGGTTATTGAGCAATGGCAAGCCTGTTGAACAATAGTATGCAATTAGCTATAGAATTGAGTTATGATCTGTAGTTAGGCAACAGCCATCCTGTTGAAAATTAATCATGAGGCAACAGTTTGCCATCAAGCAATAGTCAACAGTTGAGTAATAGTTAATTACTGAGCTATAGTCGGTTATTGAGCAATAGCAAGCCTGTTGAACAATACTCTGATATTGAACAATAGTCTGCAATTACAGTTGAGCTGCTGCAAAAGCCAAACCAACGTTAGCTCACAGTGAGCAGCTGAAAGATTCATCATGCATACGTTTGTTGAAAAAAAAGTGCAATAACTACCGTCTACCTACTAGGCATACATACTACAAGAAAGCGACAAAAAAATGTTAATTACACATCGGTTAGACATTTATGTGGGACGCCACACGTCCGGATCTTCCATCAGAGTGGTATGGTGATCGGACTGACTCATCCCCACCGGTGACGTAGCCATGTGGGGCGAAGCAACCGCTGCCATGTCGTCCCTAGAGCCTCTGTACAAGCAAATGATTAGTAAGAGGTTAGACGATTACGAATAAGAAAAAAAACAGAGTGAAGATGTTCATATCCTTGAAGACGTTAGTGATCTTATAATACAAAGTGATGAGATGGTTTGAATTTGGTCAAGTACACCAAATATGTTTCATTCAAAACTGGAACAATACTTGGTATTCAAAAAAATATTCATGTTATTCAGCAGTGAACCATATACTTCATCTATGTTTTGTGAAACAAATATTTACAAAACGAAAGCAGAACCTAGCATTATTATTATTGAGACGCTCCGTTGTCCTCCACTTTAGATTTTTACAACGCACAACAGCGATGACTTCTGGAAATACTTACTTCCGTCCAAGGGCCATCATTCCATAGATGACCCCAGTCGTGAAAATGAGACCACTGCCGAATATGGTGGACAGCCCGACTGACATTATTATCGGGGGTAAGGCTAGCCTGAAAAGGAAATGTTGATGAACAAGAACAGAATGATCAAAAGCTTTTTTAGTTCTAGTGTACAACTCAATTATAGACAGTAACGCCATCTCTTAGCAACAAGCGGAAATACCCTATTATTTTTGTTGAGAACAATAGAATCTTCAACGTGCTTCGAGTGTCGACTAGAATCTTCCTTATCGATATAAAAGATGTGTGACGGCGCGACGTGAGTCCGTTGAGTCGAGTAATCGAAGCGATACGGTCGAAGAAGGATTCTAGTCGTACTGCAAAGTAGTGATTCTAAATTTTATGGCCCTCTGCAAAATTGAGTTTGACACATTTGATTTAGAGGATTCGATAACTTACCCGGCGTATGCTACAGCTCGATTCCAATAAGGTCTGGATTCGATAAAGTCTGCCAGTTTTTGCACTTTGTCTACAAACATACAACAGCAAGGCGCTTCGCAGCACAATACAATAAAACCTGCCGTTATTTGCCACAGTCCCGCGACGATTCCCCAAAAACTAATTGTTACACATACCCAAACTCCCAGAAACATCGCAACTGAAAAAGAAATGATTTCATTGCAATTTGATTGCATTGAAAATAACCACTCTCATTTATCTATTCATTGCGAAAATATGCTTTATTGTCTAAAGATTATAATAATAAAGGATATAATTGTAACTGATTTGTGTATGACCTACATACATTCGTAAAGAGCTAATTGCTTTCTCCCTTTCTTTAGAAAATTCCCACATTCATTCTGTATAAAGATGGAGGAGTAGAAAGCCAAAACCTTTGTTTCCCAAAAATATCATTAGAGTATCACAAGTCAATATTTGTGCCTCAGTGGAATGACGATTACTTGAGTAAATTTATGAATTTGGTATTGATAAGATTATATTTTCTTTCTGTAACAAGAAAATATACTTTACATGGACGAGATTATGAGTGAATGGTGTTTCCGTTGTTACCACTATCCTATATTCCTATTAATGAAACTGAAATTACTTCAGCAGCGTCAAATACAGAGTATCAAAAAGATATATATTGTCCACTTTGAAATATGACAATCCCAAAACTTTTTCAATCACCTCTTTGTGAGGAACCAATGAAAACCAAACTAAGTAACTTCTCACATGAATATCATACAAAATTTTCAGTGTTTTTGTACCGCTGAGAAATCAACAAAGTCCGGTAAAAAATGTAGCATACATGGACAAAAAAGTGGCCCTAAATTAGATCCCTGGGGAATTCATGACCTTGGGTGGAAATTATCTGGAATGGCACCTCTAAATACTATATTTTGCGGACTCCTCTTGAGATATGTTGGCAATGAATAGCTTTAATGCTTTTTTAAGAATCCCAACACTGTCTAATTTCTTATTTCTGCTCAGATTTTCTATGAAAGTAATTAAATTTGTGAGGGTAGATCTTTTTTCAAGACTCCAAGTTGTTCCTCACTAAATTCTCCACAATTTTTGTACATGGCTCTTTCAAATAATTTACCGACACAAATTAGATAGATGGACCTATCATTTACAAATTAATTTTAATGTAAAGGAAAGGTTTTTGTTACCTTTTAAAGAGAAGAGTTGGATAGTTATCAGTTCTACAAATCAACACAATTTTTAATTACATAGGCAGAAAGCCAAGAGATTTTTTTTGTATTAAGATGGAGGAGTAGAAATCCAAAACTTTTTTCCCATGAATTATTCTATTTCAAACAGAATCGACTGAAATATTCTGCAAAAGCAGTACTCATCTCATTATTATCTTTTATATGCTATCCTCATAAATCATTTCTCCTGTATTAGAGTTATATTTGATTAGTTTCACTGAAGGTATCTCCAAAAACCAACATAGACTTCTATAATTCCATTTTCCACTTTTTGTTTGTTCTCATTTGAACGTTCCTATCTCTTCTTTTATCAGATCTTAAATAAACAGTTCACAAAATGTATTACCATATGTTTTGAAATTTTGTTTACACAAATCTCTTCTTTCAATATCCTATTAATGAATGCTCGCCAAATTACTGAACCAAAGTTCAAAAAGTAGGAATTTGGGATTAGCCCCAATAAGGGTCCCTGAGGAATTCCAAATAAATATATTGTTATTGACTACATCAAATGATTAAAATACTGGTGATATATTTATTTCCTGGCTTTGTCTGAAATTATGAAGAAAATCATATTCACTGAGAACTTATTCTGCAGTAATGTACACAGATACCGAGCTATTATCTGAGAAACCTTGAGCCTACACTGGTTGATGTTAATTTTCCAATAAAATCACTTACTAAAACCTCCCACAGTTCCTACCCCTCTGCCAGCGAATTTCATCCACCATGGCACATCATCCTTCGGGACTGGATCCTGTCCTGGCCTCGCCATGAGAGAGGTTATTTTGTCTTGGAATGACTGAAAACGCATATGAAGACATAAGGTTTTTTAAATCGTAATTTTTAAACGAGAATTACTCACCATTCTTTGGCAGAGGCAGATGTGTTAACTAGCAACGACAACGAAAGACAGCTGTCAAAGCAAAAGGGTAACTATGACACTGACAGTTCGACGAAATGTCAATTTTGGCTGCGTTACTCTGATTCTTTTTTTTTTTCGATTTTTGGCATCAACTACAAGAGAAAGTTTCCAATGACAAGCATGAACATAAGCAGCATTACAGTTTGCGCCAGAACGAACCGGCAGCTCACTGTTATAACTATCCATGTCATTTATAAAATGAATGCAAGAAAGGAAGTTGTTCATATGTGCATCCTGCCTGCCAACTTTCGTGTTCTGAAAATATTCACACGCTGAACAAGTTTTTACCAGTATGAAAACTGCTGAAACCATAATCAAATCACTACCATCACAGTAAACTAGAATGAAATGTTATGATTAAAAAATCAAATGGAACGATGTGAGTATACGAATATAAACATGACAACTACAATAATAAGATTATATAACTTGTAAGAATATAAATATGAAGAACTTACCAATATGTGAATTTAATATAACTGTCAATGTGAAGTCTAGTTTTTTATTATGTTTTAGTAGGGTAGTAATCGAATCACCAAACACTGGCAAATTGCTCTAGCTAACGGGGCCATAATCAATCGAATTGACAAACTAAAGAAGAAGCACAGAATAGTATAATTATTAATTATTCTGTGGAAGGGGTTACTTTACCAGTTTAGTTAATATTATTGTGAAGAAAGTTGATTTTAAACGAAATTAAAATGGCAGGTGAAGTAGTTGTTGATGCCCTACCGTACATCGATCAGGGATACGATGAACCAGGAGTCAGAGAAGCAGTAAGTATTTTCAATCAAAGCAATTCCTTTCAATATAATTTTTTGAAAATATGTTAGATCTGACCCATACTTGATGAAAATCCATTATAACTTGTTCAAAAAACACTGGGGGGTGTTTTTTAAACACAATATTTTGTGTCAAAATAGTTCAAATTACATTTTTTCACAAACAATTAAAAAAATAACCACAAACCAAGGGTATATTCATGTCCTGTCTTGAGTTTTAAGAATCCTTTGTTTTCCATTCGTTGCCAGAAAAAATCAATGATGTAAATGATCCAACTTAACGTGTACAGGTCAGTTTTTGGCAATGAAACTTCTCACAATTTGATTTGTTTTTAAGAATTTGTATTGTTTTCAACCCTACTTGCCCCATCCCTCTTACAACACTAGACATTTTGTTATATTCTCTACCCCATTGTCACTTATATTTGCTTGAACAATTATCCGCCCTCAATATTAATGTTGCCAGTATATCTAAATACATCACACAAACATTTTTCAGGCACTGGCGATGGTGGAGGAGGAATGCCGAAGATACCGACCCACGAAAAACTACCTTGAGCACCTGCCTCCTCTCAACGTGTCTGCGTTCGAGACCCCCCTGATGAAAAACGAGTTCGAACGCCTCCAAAACCGTCTGCCTATGGAAACCCTGTCTATGAAGAGATACGAACTGCCTCCCCCTCCCAGCGGCAAGCTGAACGAAGTGGGTGCTTGGACAGAGTGCGTGGACAACTCCAAGGCGCAGCTGGAGCACCAGGCCGTGAGGATCCTCAACCTGCAGCTGATGTTGGAGTACTGTTGTCCCACCTGGCAGCACTACCTGCAGAGTCTGACGGATATGGAGAAGATCGCTGCGAAAAAACTAGCCAGTCTGAGACAGCAGATTCAGGAAGTCAACTGGCAGAGAAAGTCGCTGCAGACGAAAGGAGGGGAAGAGCTCAAGGCGCTCGAGACGAAGTGGGTGGCTTTGGTTTCGCACAATTACGAAATCGAGCAGGCGTGTTCCATGGCAGAGGATTATCTGGCGCAGGTGCAGGACCCACAAGCGACTTCGAGGAGCAACGTTTCTTAATGTTAGTGGCGGTGAAGGAGCTATTTTGAGATGGTCAGCCATTCAATGAATGTTTTTGACTTTGTATATAAATATCTACACATAAAGGTTACGTTTGATAAGACTTTTCCCAAAAGCCAAAAGGAGGAGTTTTTGCTGGGAGACCTCTCCACAATTGAGTTTCTTCATAAGTCCAATTCCTGTGGCTGGAATCAAAGTACTTTGATATAGTTTTGAAGTAGTACGAGTAATCACATATATGTACGTAATTTGTTCAGATTCAATCAATCAAACATTTATTGAATCAGTTTTTCTTCACAATCACATTAGACAAAAAAAAAACATAACATCATCATGAAATACTGGCTGATTCAACAGGTCAAACAAATATAGAAAAGATAAAAAAGTTAATATAAAACATACATAATAATAATACCTATATTTATTGATCCTTTAGGTGTACAAACAGCAATAGAGATAGGATAAGTCAAGGAGTTACAAAATAGTTAAAATTGGGGAAAAAAACATCGGTATTACAAAATATTACACATGTATATATACATATACATACACACACACATATATAAACATATTGTCAAATCAAGGATTAGGGATACATGTTGAATGAGTCATTGCCGTGAGGGCAGCCATAAAATCATTATGTAGAATAGCAAGCATGCTTTGTCAAGAAGTCCTTCAAAAAATATTTGAACTTTTGGGGGTTCATGTCTCACGAATCTTGGTAGTTTGTTATAGATGTTTACGTCAAGAGAGTTTTTACTGGATTTTTGCAGTCTTTTTCTGCTTGGTCTAATTCAATGCAGATCCAATTCAATGCAGAGCCACGTATATGATAAAACTGCAATTTGTGTAACAGTATGTCACGAGCTTTGCTCAAATAAAAAAAATAATCCTAAAGTCTGCTGTTTGTTTTCCAAGATTTCCAGGGCATGTTTAATGAGTTGATCAATTGCACCAACTGTAGATTTATTTCTTCTATAAGCATTCTGACTAGAAGAAAATAATCTGAATGATTCAAAGTAATCATATAATCTCTGATGGAAACAGTATTCAATAATCTTAGAAAACTGACTAAGTAGCGATATAGGCATCTAAGATGCACAGTCAGATCGAGAGCCCTTATTTTTGTATATTGGCAAAACCTTCGACATTTTCAGTATTTTTTCTTAAAAACTTTTTTGATGACTTGTTCGATTCCCATTTTAGTTGCTGGATATAAATAAATACACACATCGGAAAAGTCTAGGGATATTTTTATAACATACTAAATATCATAAAAATAAATGCATGAGGTCGTTTGATTTCGATTAAATTGGTACACTCGACCACCCTGTAGATTTCTATGGGTTGAACAAAGCCTGCAAAAACGGTAACTAATCTTTTATCAAGTTTTTTACAAACTGTAGGTTTTCGGCTAAAATGAATAATCTGAAAGTGTCGAGTTTGTACATTCTATGCAGTTCTTGCTCAGCAATTAAACTGGAAATATTGTGCTTCAACATGGAACGCCATCACTTACCATTAACTGAGATGAATAGAGCTGTAGGGCTTCTTCACGGAGGCATGCGACAAAATGATGTAGCTCTTCGTTTGGGGGTCTCCCAAAGTGTTATCAGTCGATTGTGGCGGCGTTTCCGTGAAACTGGCAGTCCAGCCGAACAACATCCAGGGCGAGGACGCGCTACAACTGCAGTTCAAGACCGATTTTTGGTCTTAACCGCAAGAAGACAACCGACTATCACAGCACCTGAGTTGGTTAACGTGTTGCAGCAGACGCACCAGGTAACCATTGGTCGTGATACTGTCAGAAATCGACTGCATGAAGCAGATCTCCACAACAGAAGGCCACTTAGATGTCCACCTTTGTCGAGAGGCAATCGCGGTAGAAGATTAGAGTGGTGTCAAGAACATCAAAACTGGGATGCAAATGATTGGGCCACAGTTTTGTTTACAGACGAATCCAGATTTGGATTTCATCCAGATTCTCGTCGAGTAAGACTGTGGAGACGACCTGGAAATAATGAACGTTTGAGACACGTCCAGGAAGTCCACACATACAGAGGTGGTACAGTAATGCTATGGGGCGGAATCGTGATCGGCGGCAGAACCGATCTCGTTTTTCCAAATCGCTCCCTCACAGCTCGACAGTACCTCGACACCATTCTTCGACCTATCGTCCGTCCGTTTGCTGGTGCTGTTGGTGAAAACTTCCACCTAATGCACGATAATGCTCGTCCACATGTCGCGCGTCAAGTGACTGACTGGCTCACCAACGAAGGAGTTGATGTATTGCCATGGCCAGCACAATCACCGGACCTGAATCCCATCGAGCATGTGTGGGACATGCTTCAACGAAGAATTACTCCGCATATGGGGAACATTCACACAACGTTTCAATTGAGAGAGCTTTTAATCGCTGAATGGGCAAATGTACCTCAACAAGACATTGACAATCTCATTTTGTCGATGCACGATAGATGTAGGGCCGTAATAAACCAGCGTGGAGGCCATACTTTGTACTGATTCCAATTTTTTTGTATTATGATTTTTTTTCGGGGTGCCAAAGAGCCATATTTTTTTTTAGTTTTGCTTATATGTGCACTCAGTATTTTTGACCATTTAATAAATTTTGTTGTAAGTTACATTCGTTTGATAATCACCCGTCAACTTTTTTTTTCCCTAAAGCGACCTAAAAAAAATATTGCCATTTTTAAAAATATCCCTAGACTTTTCTGATGTCTGTAGTTTGATGAGCAGATGACATATAATTGATATTTTTAGTGTTAGGTTTGGATATGCTACTACTGACAGTTGAGAAATAGTCACTAAAAAGGTTGCATATAGCAAAATTATCAACACCTTCAGCACTTTGTATTTTACTATTTTATTTCATAATATACCATTACAAATAAAACAAACTGATAAATTCACAATCGAATAGTTTCAGAATTTTCAGGAATTAATTTTTCACAAGTTGCAAATAATAAAACCTCATCAACTTCTTGTAAAATCCAGATTCATTCTCAACAAATATCGTTGAAATCATTCTCTATTAGTTCAAACCTCTCAGTTTTCACATGTATAAATAATAATTGTAAAACTATGATCCTTATAGTTATAACACAAAAACACCTTTTTATAAATACACCAAAGACGGTACATTTCATCAAATGTCATAAATAGGAGTCCCGTTTTTGTCCCATGTATTTTTCACCTTTTCAAAAACGAACGTTGTATACAGAGCTGAAAGAAAACAAAAGTTAGAATGTTTGGTATACTTCAGTTGAGAGAAAAAAATGTTACATAGAGTTAGTATGCTGCCACTACTTTTTGAAAAAAATTCAATTCGAATTACATATTTCTGTACTTTAATCACGAATATTAAGGCAAAATTTGTTGCTCAGGTCTACGTTTTCAAATCCGTCCTCTCACAACAATCAACTATCTCATTCTGATATACGGAACTCTCAAAATAACATCTTTTTTTACTATCACATGTTTTTTACTTACAAGAAGCCTCCCATTCGGACTTTGACAATGTCCCAATCCTGACACCGTCTTTGCCTTTGAGATATTCACTAGCGTGTGTATAATCGTCCTTCTCTGTCCCCACCAGCGATCCCGAGTCGTGACAAGGAAACGTCTCTAACGCCCTCATGGTATTCATCAAGTACCTGCCTTCGTTTTTCATACGCTCGAAAAACTCGTGGAACTTCTCCCGCCTGACAAACTTCAAGCCAAACTTCTTCGCCAGTTTGACTAGAGTGGGAAAGTGAACCAGAAACTCCGGGCAGTTCACTACCCCATCAAGATGGAAGTGGTATTTAGCCCCGAACAGCTCGGGCTTGTCGGTGTCGAAGTCCAGGGTCACTTCGTACACTTCATTCCCGAACGTGTTACTGCCGTTCTTCCTAGCACGTGTGATGAGATCGTACGCATCAGGCATGGTTCCGATGAAGAATCCTCCGGGCTGGAGACACTCGGAGGCGTTTCGCAGCATACACTCGGCCTGCGGAAGGCTCTCGAAGCAGTAGTGGAACGAAAACTGGCAGCTGACCAGGTCCAGTTTCATGGATGGGTCAGAGAATTTCTCGCGTAACCGAACTCTCGTACAATCCCCAGGAATATATTCTATGGTGTAGACACTACCGCCGCTCCTGTCCCTAGATCCTCGTTGTTTCATATCCTCGTAGCGATCCCTGCACTGATCGAGAGACACGGAAGCAATATCGGCACAAATCAAGTGTGTTATGTTCCCTTTTTTCCACTTGAGGAGGTCCCCGCCCTTGCCGCAGCACATATCCAGCACCCTCAGAGGGGCGTTGTGCTTTTTACCGTCCTTTATCTTTGTTAGATACTCGTTTATCAGCATGCTTTTGATCCAGTTGTGGAAGTTGCGCAGGTAGATAATACGGGACTTTGAGCGCTCGCCTAGGCCTTTTTCCGCAAGCTGGTTGTAATGTGTGGCCACGACATTCGCGTATCCCCGTAAGGACTTCGCGGAGACATCGGAGCTGTCTTCAGTTTCAAGTTTTCTTTTTTGGGAACGCGGGCTCTCTTTTTTACTGGGCGAGGTACGTTTTTCGTTTGACTCGACAGGTTCAACTTTGGCCGGTTCTTCTGGGGATTTGGATATACTTTTGTAGAAGTCTGCCTCTTTACAATGTATTTTCTCTGATTCGGGCTCTTCTGGAGAATTTTGCTCTTCAACGTTTCTAGAATCAGCGTCCGCTGCGGCGATTAATAGGGCCTGCTCTAAATCGTTGATTTCGCTCATATTATTTGCGGAAAAATAGGAATTGATGCAAAAATTGCAACATAAAAGTAGTGTTTTACCCCAACTAGGCATCTACTACAAAAATTGGGTTATGTTTTGGTTGCTTTTACTGTTTGCCATGCAAGCAGTGAAAAACAATGGAGTCTAGAGGCAAACATTATCCGTAGGCTGGCAAGCTTTAAAGTTTATTGTAGATTCTGAAAACACGAGCCTGGTTTTTTATGGTAGTTTGCTTGGAGAAAAACATTCTCCACCGCCCAACCACATTTCAAGTACGTGGATTGTTGATATTGAATCTGTTTCTTCAGTGATTGAAATGATTTCTGTTCTTTCGGTAAAAACTCACATTCTAGTATAATTAACGAAGAGTACTGAACAATAAAGACGCATGTATTTTTAAACTCTTAAGAATAATTGACATGTTTTCAGAAATATACAACAGTAAATAAATTGAAGGGGTATAGAGTTACTTATTTTCAAATTGATTAAATCCTTCCTTTCTTTGGAAGATTCCCTCATCTTTTTTTTTGTATCAAGATGGAGTAGCAGAAAGCCAAAAACTTTCTCACCAGTAAATAAATGGTCAAAAACAACAACTCATATCGACCAAATTAGAATTACAGTAATTATTACATGGAATTATCTTGATTTTTTCATTAGAAATGAGAATAATTTTTTGTAATCATAATGAATCATCGTTGATAAAGAAAAAGAGTCTATAATTCTATTTCCCAATCGACAATGAAAATGAAAACAATCTTCGTAAAACGCTGGTTACTTCAGTTTTACATACAAGACAAGCACTCTCCAGAGAAAAATCAAAATTGAAAAAGTAACAATTCATTTATCCACAGATACAACTAACGGCAGAAATGGGAGCTTCAGTTTCAGTTGACACATCAAGAAAAGTACTTCGATCTCACTGGTGAAGATGACTTCCGCAGTTGTAGTCGAAACGTTTGGAGATTATAAGCGAAGAAGACAACGGCGAAACCCGGAAACCATCTAAAACAATTTTCTATTTCAAACCGGAGATATAGACATGTTTTTTATTTTATCGAATTAGAACTGTCATTAAGCTTGCCAGCCTAAGGCAAGTAGCTGTCTCCAGGCGCAAGTGACACTTGAATAAATGACTTCTATAAATCTTTCTATTGGTCATTTTAGGACTGTCAACTTACGTCATGTTTGCACTGTTGTTATTAGGTTTGTTCTGGTTCTCACTTGGTAGTGTTCCGAATAGTTCGAAATCAGTGTTCAGTAGCTGTCTGTTAGTTCGTTGCTCTTAGGTACAGTCAGAGCAGAGACACAGAACAGACCTATTATATTTCGATTAAGTTCTACTGATTACCGTCAACTTCGTATGTCGCTGTCATCGTCGTCTTGTCAAAATCTCAATATGGCTTCTTCTGACAATTGTAAAGTTGTCAGATGTTACTGAAAAACAGTGAAAATTTCGTCAAATTTGGTAATTTTCGCGACAGTGGGCAGTGTTTTCGACCGTTTCCTTTCGTGTCACCCTCCAGAGTCCTCAAAATCCGTCGTCTCGTCGTGAAAAGGTTGCCTCACCTCGCACACCTGAGGAATGTAAATTTTTTGTTGTTTACCAACGGGAACTAAAATGTTTTGTGTGAACTTACGAATCTGCTAACGGGAAGCAGATATCGAGGACTGTTCCATATCCCGAATTCGATTAGTGGATTTTTTGGATTCCGAGGACCGACTTGGACCTCCCAGAAACAGTTGTTTTTGTGAAAGGCCATCGAACTGCCTACCTTCAGAAATGGCCTTTAATGAGGTGAGTAACGATTTTATAACTATTTCCTTCTTCGTGTCACGTAAGTAGTATTAAGTTTTCTAGCGAGTTTTTGGGGTGACATTTTTGAGTTGAAGAAAATAAAATGTGACAGTTGTGAAATGAATTTCTCTAAATTTTTGACGCACCATCACTGAAGATATTTTCTGAATATATCAGTCAACATTAACATTATTGAATTATCTAATTACATGCAAATTAAAAACTTGAAATTCATGGGTTTGTTTCTTGAAACTATCATTTCATTGGGTAAAATGAAATTTGATAATTCAACATCCAATAGCTAGTGATTTTCTGTTATGATTATAATGGGACTGTTAGGTAAGTAGTTTATTCATCAGAATCGTTTGAGATCACTGTTTATTCTCAATAGAATCTGTGGAAATTAGGCAGTGAAAATCACTATTTTAAATTTATTTTTATGACTAGCAGAAACCAGTATTTTTGTTGTTTATCAATTCATTTTTCAAGGAATTCAAACTATTGAAATACACATAGTCATTGAACCTACAAATGCTTTATTGAGTTTTGCTATTTTTTCCTACTTCTACTAAAGCTGGATTTGTTGACTAAGTAACAGGAATGTAATACAGACAAACTGAAAAAAAAACCTTTTTCAAACGATTACTTTCACATGACAACAAATTACAAAAAAATCGTTTTTTTTTCTCGAAACTTCAAGAAGGACTCCTTGTCAAGTGATTTTTCTTATCAATTTCAAATCCATAACAAATGATTTGAATACCGAATGGAAAATATCGGGTGAAAAAGTGATTGCCGAATGAGAAGTTGCTTCTACTGTAGCTTTCAGATTCCAAAACAGAGCAAACGTGATTCTCCCCCAGAAATTGACAATAGGTATCCCGATAAACTTAGAGATTAATTTCTCAAGTCTTCCAGTGAGTGTGTCAGGACGCTCCAGAACTTGATTGTTTATGACGTACTTGTGTAAATTCAAGTTCGTTTTCAGTGAGTAAAACATTACATTACATTTGGATATGTTGAGAGACAGATTATTCTTCCGAAACCATGTAGCAACGCGATTTAAATTCAGGGTGAGACACTCGCAATCATTAGAACATGTTATACTGTGCTAGAGTTTCAAGTCTTCTGCGTATAAAAGGAAATTGACATCAATCTCAGCTCAGATATCATTAATGAACATATTGAACAGAAGGGGTCCTTGATTTGATCCTTGTGGTACACCAGATGTGGCTATATATTCGAATTTATGTAGAGTTACGGAACCTGTGGCACTAAATCGCATCCAAATCTGATTAAATATGATACACTGACTATTGAATACAATCGTTAATATTTACAAATATACGATACTTGATAAAGTTCCAATTGGTGGGGTGATTTCATATCGATCCGACAAAGAAATCATGGAAAATTCACTGATATAAACCCCTCTTGGTATGCATTGTTATTTGCAAACATTCACAGTGTCTCACAAAAAAAGTATGTTTTTTTTGCACAAAATTTTCTTTTTCTCTTGACGAATTTCAGTTTTATACGGGCCACTTTGTTGATATAAAACATATTTGAAATTAATCCGCCTTTTTTAATTCCCTATATCTGGTCAAGTTTTGGTCAAATTCAGAATTAAAACCTAACAAAAAGACCGTCTTGAAAATTCTCACAAACCGTGAAATTTTGGGAACAGCATTAAAAGAAAAATGGGTCTAAGCAATGAAGCGCTATCGCCGAAAACGCGACCCGAACGCGGGCAGAGGCGTGAAGGCAGACGTCGTTGACGGTTGTGTTAGTAACTGTATTTCTAAAGTGAAAATATAAATTAATAGCTGTTGCCTGCTCTTAAATTAACGTACAGCCGAAGCCACTGAACCTAGAATCTTGAAATATGCAGGTAGGTTCTTTGTATAGCATAAATAAGCATCAAGAAAGGGCATCAGGAATTTCCACCCACGAATTATACAGATTGTATTGAATTTCGTCGGTTTTGATGTTGGAAACAAAAAATATTTATTGAGGTACCGAGCTACAAATACATACGACATTAAATCGGACAAAAAATTTGAAACAGTCTATTAGTGATTATGAATTTGATGATCTTATGCAAGGTTATCAGTTTGAAAAGTCACCAAAGCATATCAGTACCAAATATTTAAAAAAAAAATTATGATATAACGTTCGAAAATGAATCGAGAAATTTCTATGTTGAAAAAGTATATTACAATGTTGAGGAATTTCATATTTCTTGATACTGTACTATTGTGGAATTGACTATCGTCAGTGTAATTTTGTTATAAATATAAATAAATGAAATAAATTACAGTAGTAAAAAAGTTTGAGGGATTATCCCAGTTTACAGTCTTATCCTCAGTAATATACACCTTGTGAATGTTTATTGCCAGTATTTGATGGTAATCATCAACGAGAGATAAGGCCAGATATGGCAAACAACTATTCACACCACAAACTAGGGCTTAGTTTGGATAAGAACCTCCAGAAAATGGCATAGTTTCATTCGGGATACTTGATTCAATCGGCGCGGCGGTCAGTTTTTTAGTGTCGCCGTTCGGTTTTTTTATCTAGTGCGCGGATGCCGTGTGAATGTTAATTGTTTAGTTTGCGGCAAGTCCATATTATTAAACAAATCGCAATTATGTAACGAGGTAAACAAAGCAGGTGGCGTCAATGGTTGGTTTGTCAGTCGATCGTTTGTTTTTGTCGGACGTGTCGCACTTTGAAAACTTTCGTGGTTTTTTAATACATTGCGGAGAGGATTTGACGGAGCGTAGTGAAGATACGGGTTTTCTGGAAGAAGTGTTTTGCCTGTAAGACGATTTCTGCTATCTAAAAGAATGGATCGAAGAATTTGCATAAAATTTTGTGTAGAAAATGGATATCCGTGCTCAAAAACACTTCTATTCTCAATATAATACAATGACTAAAACTGAAATTACTCCAAATCACCTGAATCGAAATCAAATTCGAAGACACATTTACTTGAAAACCACAAATGGATCCTTTTCATCTAAATTGACTATCATCTCAATTTCAATATTTTTTAAAAATGTTTTTACTTCACATTTTACAAAAAAATTTATATTCCTCAAACAATTCGCAGGGGAACACATATTGTATAGTGAGAAATCTAAACGTAGGTTGGTTCCAGGTTTAGGCAAAACAAATATATCTTTCCTTTCCAGATAGATGTTTGACAACAAGTGTGGATTATCAACTTTATTATGCAATAGCTGGACATACTAAAGCATTTGTCAACATTAAATGTGAGGCTATTTGCCACGGATCACTCGTAAACTCTATCTACGTCATTTTGTAGCAAAATCACGTCTTCTTGACTTTTGATTTCCTTGAATAATTCAAAATCATCCGCGAATAGTGCACATTGCAAGTCCTGAACTACCTCTGGCAGATCATCTATTAGTAATAAAGAGAAGAGGGGTCCTAGATTGGACCCTTGGGGTACACCAGATCTTGTGAAGAAATTCTCTAATTCCCATCCCTTATAAACTACATACGCAAGGTCAATAACGAGTATTATCTTGAAATTATGGCTGCCAAACAAGTACTAAACAACGCAGCGTCTTCAAACTTGATACATATTCTTTACAGATTGTGGACTTACAGTGATATTTTTCGGACAACTACCGCCATCTTTAGGCCAGGCCGGATACTTTTGGGGCAACTGTCGTACTTTGAAGGAGATAAAATAGAAATTGATGTATACATGAGTATTTTTTGGGAAATTAATCTTATTTTTTGAACAGACAGTGGTCAACAGTTGTTATCATCAAAAGTATTATTTGTCCTCGAGAATGAGATATATTTTTATTGAAGGAAAAGTTGTGATAAGTTATCTAAACAACATTGTGTATGTTTATATGGCAGTTGTTGGCTGCGCAAATTTCTGTTGTTTTCTCAAAAATTTCCTGAACTGACACAATCTGATTGGTTACTTGTATAAGTCATTGTCATGAGATAGTGACCTTGTAACTTTCGCATCGTTTTGAACTCTCCTCCTTCTTCTTCTTCTTATTTTCCATTCGTTGGCTTCAGCAACCAAGGCTATGCGGCCAATTGGTAACGAAGGACATTTGTGAAACCAAGTGTGGTCACACGTTAGTACGGCTGAAACAAACCCATCTACATTTGGGTGAAAAGTAGAATCCGGGAACATGTAGCTTGCTATAATTTAAGATCTTCTTGTCCCTCGGGCGCAACTATTGCTAACCATGGACTACAAAAGCATTCCACTAGCAAAGCACATAATCTATAAGCGAAACTAGCCCAATTATTGCCGCTATCTTCATTGATAGTACGAAGCATATACTTTTACAGCTTGTGGTGGGAGAGGGAGGAGAACGAATGTAATAACTTAAAATTATTATTATTTTTGAGTTGAAAATTATTATTGTAGCCACAAATATCTCGAAACAAGAAACACGTTTTCGAAATAACACTGTGTTGTTTTTCTGAAAGGTATTCTATCGCCATCATGTGATTCGAGAGATAAAACCAAATATAGTTTTTCTCGACGAGTACTTGTAAATATTGTCGACAAGATCATAAATAAATTAAATCACGGTTTGGATTCTCAGTACTTGCGTCTGAATCATTATAATGTCGTCGGATACTCGTTCGGAGGTGTGGCCCGATATCAAATAGTTTTCTTATAGCTAATTTCATCGAATACAAGGTGAACGTTTATGGAAAAAGTCGAACACGATGTTACATGGGGTCTTTCATTAAGAGGAAGATCTTCCTCTTGAAGATGATCACTTGGTGATCGAAACGCGTGACGAGGTGTTAAAAGTAATTCAATAAACAATTATTGCATATTAGAATTGTACACCGCTTCATACCAATCATTTTAAAAGCACAATTTATCTCTAACACGGTTACTTCCTTAAAGGAAATGAGTTGATAACACATGGTGGTTTCCTTATTTCTTATCGCCCGTAATACCTACGGTTAGTTAGTATGCAAAACACACTTTAGTGAACGTTACGAAATTTGAATAACACCAGCTCGAATTTCTAATGCTGAAACTAACGGTTTTATGACGGTGGCTGCGATTTCAGTCAATACTCGACGAGCTAATAGCCAGGTATTGGATAGTCCCGGAGAAACCGAAGCGAAGTTCGTTAAAAACGCCAGAAGTTTCTTCTGATGGCGCCAGTGATGTTAGTAGCAGAATCGAAACTATTGTGAATCGCGAGTGTGGATTTTTATTGTTTCGGCTTCTATTGACTAGAGATGTGGTCGCGTTCGAAAAAAACAGTGTCGAGAAATCCCTCGTTGGGCGCCACCGAATTTGTTAAAAGCAGATTGGGCAAACTGAACCCCCGACCGGCTTCGTGGTCGCCTAGTGATAGCTCCCAATTCATGTTTTGTAACCAATCACGAAGATGGACTACATATCCTTCTCCAGTAAGTGTTTTTTAAAACGCTTTTATTGGCTTCGCCTGTAGGTATGTATGTTTGTTTGCTTGTATCTGTATTTGACAGCTTGGGATCTGTATTTGACAGAATTATCGGCATTATTGTTTGATCTATTCGAGGGCAGATGGCGCTGTACAGAACATCCTTGATATATTGACATTATTGCTTGATCTATTCGCGGGCAGATGGCGCTGTATGGAACCTCCTTGATATGATTCTAATTCATTCTACATGTATTTCTTCATTTGAAAAAAGTGTTTTTTTTTAATTAACACACGCGGCTGCTGCCTTATTTGTAACCCTCCTTTGCGCGCCTGGTGTCTTGGGCTTATTCTGGTATAATACTATTCACAAATCTTATCATACCCATTTAGAACATTTAAACTGAGAAATCAGTAAACAAAGAAATAAAATTGGGTTTTCACAAAAAGAATATATTTTATTGATTGTAGTTTCTTTCCTGAAGTATAAATTCTTTTAATAATTTTTTGAATTTTACATTTTCACAGTTTTTTATGTGATCTGGCAATTTATTGAAAGTAGAAAGAGATTATGGTGCCTTGTATCAGGATCTTGAATTTCTGATTTTTTTATCAATATGAGGTTAGATTTAATTTTTCAAATTGATCACTAAATAAACAATTTTAAGTCTGTCTATTATAAAATGTTCTTCCAAAGAAAATGTGTTTGTTATTGAATATAGTTCGTTAGTTGGAATGTCATATGGAAGACGACATAGTACTTTTAATGCTTCTTATAAACAATGGAAATTTTGTCAAGGGTATTTTTACATATATTTTCCAATACTCGATTTTGTCCATTTTCATAAAAACATTCACATCAATCCACTCAAACGACTGTTACATAACAACTGCACGTCCAAATTGGCTGAAACTTTGGTAAGTAGCTGTCAACAGCCAAACAACTAGTGCTGCCATCTTCATGATGAGGTCGGGAACTTTCCGGACCACCCTTGTAGTTAAATACTTTCAAATTTGTAAGATATTTGTTCTGAAGGTATACACTTTCACTCAGTACCCTGGAACATTAATCATAATTTGAAATTCCTGAATCGTTACCCACAAAATTTGTCAATAAAGAAGCATTCGCGACACGTATGCCAATATAAATTTCCACTCTGTACTATACACGTTCTTGGTCGATATACTTCGAGTGTTGTTTAATGAAACTCATAATAATGGGTCGTCAAATAAATGAATAAAACATTAGAATTCGGCCTCGGTCTAATAACAAACGATACCTAAACGTCTTATCTGCATGCGTACGCCATCGAGACGTGATTCACAAACGATGAAAAGTCGCAACTTAAAATCTAGTCGCGATAAATGAGGTCGAACAGTTTTTTCGTCGGTCTTTTTGGTGTCTTTGCATTAACGGCAAAGTCGGATATCGGTTTACGAAGCCGTTGAACCTTGGCTTTATCGGTACTGAGTCATAAAAAAGTTGATAAACCTCGAAATCCGTATTTACATGAATGTATAACAAGAAAGTTGGATTTTGTGATTGAATCGGCCGTTACTTAATGAAGATCCATAGTAATTTCATTAGCTGCACCTTACGATTTGATCTTTACCATTTAATTTTTTTATATACCTAAGGTACATCCTCAGTTAATTATGATTACTTAGAGCAGAGCGGCCGTATCACTACGGCCCTCGATCGCAGTGTGTCGCAGAAAAAAGCGCGTCCTAGACAAGCGAGAGAGTGTTAGTTAAGTACCTATTTAGTTCTAGTAAACAAATCAATCATAGACAGTAACGCCATCTCTCAGCAACAAGCGGAAATACCGTATTATTTTTGTTCAGAACAATATAATCCTCCACGTGCTTCGAGTTTAGAGTCTAGACTAGAACCTTCCTTATCGATATAAAAGGAGCACGTAGGCGCGACGAGAGTGTGTTGAGTCGAGTAATTGAAGCAATACGGTCGGAGAAGGATTCTAGTTGTACTGAGGCTGTGGGAAAATCAGGTAAAAAATCAAACTTTGGGTCATTTCGCTCGTTTAAAATCATTTGGCACAGTGAACCAAGAAGAATCGGATCAATATTCTCAACTTCTGCAAAATCTGATCCACAGAATTCAACAATTGTTTTGAAAATGGAATCAAAATGGAATTCCCAATTTTCGGCAATCCATTCAATTTTGAAGCTTCACAGGCACCAATTCATTTGCAAATGGAGTTGATAGATCTTCAATCGGGCAGTCCATAGCTTTCAAATATATTAGCTCCGTTAAACATATGATTTTCACCTAAAAGATGATTTGAATATGTTGAAGCCAGTTTTTCTGTTGTTCTTCCAAACTATGTTAAAGATCCCTAATTGCTTTTGCGTAGACAGTCTTCAAAACTTTTGAACACCTTATAAAACGCAATTTTTATCATCTAGGTGTATTTTATGTATATAAAAAAGCATATATAGGCTCACATTTGTTGACATGTCTTGAAATCCAAAAGTAAACGCATCATGATATAATGTATCATTATCAGGTGTCGTCATTAGATAAAAAAATTCTTTGAAAAGTTTCTGTCAAGATCTGACTTCCTGTTCGTATTAAAAAAGATGTCACCATCGATTATGTTTGGCGAAACTTTATCATTAACATTTCAGATATAATAACTAATCTAATAATCCATTACTAATATGATTCGTTCAAGTGAACTTGGCGTTTTGACAATGTGTTGTTGCTGATGTATTTATTGTAATCTAATCTTTGATTAGTATCGGACCAATAATCTTTATGTATACCAGCTGAATCAAATCGAGTTCACATGAAAGCTGTTCTATAGTGAGAGTTAATGCTAGAGAACTGGGAGTTTGTACTGCGAAAACAGCATATCATGCTTTGGTGGAGCCTCATTTAAGGTACTGTAACCTTTATGGGGCGTATGTAGCCTTAATTTGCTGGAGTCTGTGTTTGTATTACAGAAAAGACCTATACGATTCTTATGTAAAGCTAAACCTGGTGACTCAAGACTCCAACTCGTCAGAGCATACAAAACAAATTAAAGTTACCTATCCCTTGCAACTCTCTGGTCAAGGACTCCTTATTTTACAATGAAGATGCATAACCATCTGCCTAGTTATAGTCTATCCATTCCCAATTGGAACGGCAATAAAAATGAGAGTACAGTCATAAACATTTCTTGCTTGTGGCCCCTAGTCGCCCAGATAGTAAACATGCTATCAAATGTAGTTGAGGAATAAAGGCTCGGCTAGCTGGACTGGCTGAATACTAATTTTTTGTCCGTTTCACAATATTTCTTTATCAGTGCCGTGTGTTCATGGGGTTAGGTGAGGTAGTGAGTGGTTTTGCAAACCGATTTCTGAAAACTTTCTAGAGATCAATTGCCGTAACATCAAACTGATATTTTTGCACTCGACGCGCGTTTCGCTAACAAGGTTAGTATCTTCAGGACCTAAAGTTTTTTGGTCCGATGTGGACTTTGTTAAATGATGATTATTCTAATTGATTTTTTCGGTAATTAAGTAGTGGAACCACTACCTGCAAATTAATTTGTCAACAATATATTAAAAAGCGGACATTTCGAAGTTNCAAATAGATTTTCATTAAAATAGTCTGGCTAATTAGTTCTTCCAAAGCCAAAACATTCAAGCCACACACGCACAATTTACCAATATGGGGGTTACAAACAGATTAACAAATCCAATAGAGAACTGACTTGACAAATTAACAAAAAGAAAAAGCACTTATTTAAAAAGAAAAAACAAAAATAAATAGAAATGAAAATGCAAAAAGAAAAGAGAAGAAAACAGAAACACAAAAACAAACAGTAATGGAAATTCAAAAAGCAAAAAACGAGGGAAAAAATCACGTATGCACAGATATACACACACATATACATATGCATAATCTACATATACATAAGAATGTTTGTTCAAAAGGAACTCCTGTATCGTGTAGGGATCTTTGTTTGTTTGAAGGTGGTTGGTTGACAATGTTTCGTAGTGTATTTCAGCAGTTCGGACTTCCATTGTCTGATATAATATAAATTGATTAGATAACCCTGAAAAAATCAAAATGATTAACCGAAAATAACAATTTTATT